TGGAGCGCCGGGTGGGGCGGCGGGGGGCGCGCGGGGGCGGCAACGGGGGCGCGGGGGGGAAGGGCGCTGAGCAGGCGGGGAAGGGGTGCGTGAGTGCGTGAGTGCGTGGTCGTTATTGTGTGGGTGTCTATGGATTTGTGTGTGTGCGTGTGTGTGTGTGTTCATGTCGATGGATGTTTGCGTGTGCGTGTGTGTGTGTGTGTGTGTGTGTGTGTGAGTGTGTGTGTGTGCGAGTGTGTGTGTGTGTGTGGAAGTGGTGATTTTAGTCTACGGTGGTGGCGGCGCGTGTGCGCGCACGGTGGTGGCGGTCGTGGTTGCGTCGGCGGTGGCCGCAGGGGCAGGCGCGCGCGGCGCCCGCAGGCTTGCGCGCAGGAGCGCGCGAGCGCGCCCGTGTGCAGGGTTGTCTTGCTTGCTGTCTGGATTTTGGACGTCATGTATGCTGAGTTTGAGTCCCGTTTGGCGTTCACTCATTATCGGAGGTTTGGGGGGTGAGATGGAAGCGGAACGGAGATCCCCCGCCGGGAGATCGCTTTCGGTCTCGGGTTCATGACGCTCGTGCGGGCGAGGCGAAGATGCATGGGTTGGCGACAGGAATGACTTCGCTGTGGCCAGGGCTGGTCAAGACAAAAGACCGCCTCCAGTGGGCCAGCATGGCCGAGGGTGTCCCGCCGTGGTGTCCCGTTTGTGTTGCCGTCGGTGTCCGCGGGCGGTGGCCAGGGGTGTCCCGCCGTGTTGTCCGCCCGCGTTGTCCAGTCGGTGTCCCGTCGGTGTCCCGTCGGTGCCCCGTCGGTGTCCCGTCGGTGTTACGTCGGTGGCCCGTCGGTGCCCCGTCGGTGTTACGTCGGTGTCCCGTCGGTGCCCCGTCGGTGTCCCGTCGGTGTTCCGTGGTGTTCCGTCGGTGTCCCGCCGGTGTCCCGCCGCCGGTGTCCCGCCGCCGGTGTCCCGCCGCCGGTGTCCCGTCGGTGTCCCGATTGGTATCCCGATTGGTGCCCCGTGGGTGTCCCGATTGGTGTCCTCATCGGTTTCTGGTGATGCCCCGGTGGTGTGTCGATGGCGTCTTAATGGTGTTTTGGTGGTGTCCCGGTAGGTGCCCCGATTGGTGTTCCGATGGTGTTTTGGTGGTGTCTTGGTGTTGTACCGTTTCGTATGCTGTCCCGACGGTGTCCCGATGTTATTAGCCATTGCCCAGAGACATCATGCATTGCCTTCAGCACCGTCGTCTTGCATCGTCGCCAACTCGTCTGCGCATCACCGGCATCGCCACCATCACAATCATGGCAGTTGTCCCCAGTTGGTTCTTTCCCCCCCAACCTCCTTGTCACCCGAAGGGTGCTCGTATAGGTAATCGTAAATGAAGGGTCGGAGAGTCCCAGAGCCGCTCGAGCACGGAGGGGCCGCCACCCAGGCGCGCCAGGCGTCGCAGAATTTGCATGAACGTTTTGGCCCGCGTTGGCTCGGCGTTCGTGCAGCGCCCGATGTGGCTGCACGAGGCTGTCCTGGATATGACGCGTACGTAAATACCACCCTCTGGCACACGCCCGTTTCCAATTTTTCGCAGGTTGTACTCACGCATTGGTGATAAGCACGTCGAGTCAACGGGCTGACACCTGACTCTCCATATCAATTTGGCTCCCTTTCCCCAGCACTACCCTTCCCCCTTACCCGAAAATTGAACGGTGCGCCTCCACAGTTCAGCAAACATGTGAATTCGGGGATGATTCGGGACATTTGATATCTGTGCCGGCTGTTTGCTCTTTCCGTCACCCAGCCCGGCCCTTTGGCAGTGCCCAGTTGCACCAGTGTGTTCGGTTCTCGACTGAGTTTCTCTAGACATATTTGTTGTGCTCCCGCGGAAAAATGGACATGTGGCCACATAGCGATGCTCTCCGCGTGATTGTTGCTCTGCTCGTTCCGCTGCGCATTTTCTCTCAAATGTCCCACCCACCCCACCCTGGGGGAACCTTTGATGTATGTGCCGGCTGTGTGCGTTTTTCGTCACCCAGCCAAGCACCTTGTCAGTGCCCAGTTGCACCGAGGTGCGTTGTTCAAGGGCTCCCACGAGGGCGCGAAATTATTCGCGCTTCGCGGTCCTCGTTCCTTCTCCTCCTCCTCGTCCTCCTTTTCTCCCTTTGCGGGGGCGGCGCGAGAGCGCGAAGTTATTCGCCCTTCGCGGAGCGCGAAGCGCGAAGTTGGAAGCCCCAGGTTGTTTCTCGACCGAGTTCCTCTAGACATGTCTGCTGTGCTCCCGAGGAACAGAGGGCAGAAGACCACATGACCTGCTCCTCCGGGCCTCGTTGGATGCCCTCCTGGGGCCCCCCTCTGGGCCCTCGCGGAGGCACCTTGAGCCGTTCTGAAGCCATACTCGGCCGCCTTGGGGCCATGCTGGCCCGTGTTCGCGGCACATTGGGCAGTCCTGGTTGCCGTGGTTGCCTGCCTGGGCCTTCTTGGAAGCTCGGGGCGCGGACGCGTCGTGCCGCGCGGAGGGTCGTCGGCGTCGGGAGCGCGGATCCGTGTGTGTGTGTGTGTGTGTGTGTGTGTGTGTCCGAGGGATCGTGGCCATCGGCTTGCCATCGCTCGGACGTGTGCATTTTTTCCGGCGAGGGCCATCGAGGAGCATCCTTGATCATTTGGCGAAAAAGCCACGCACGAAACCGAAAAAAACACAGGGAATGGACGTCCGAGCGATGGCCAGGTCAGCGTCGGGAGCGCGGATCCATGTGTGTCCGAGGGATCGTGGCCATCGGGGCCAGGAGGTGCATGCGCCTGTCCGCGGGTAGAGAGGGGTGCCTTCACAAATTGGAATGCACAAGCCGTCAGGAGCAGCACCTGGCGTTCTGGCGCACCCACATTGCGCAGGCACGCTTGCGGATCTCCATGCCATTACTCGTTGTGGGCGGGCAGCAGGCGAACAGCCAGAAACGACAACCAACAAACGATATTCGAGGAATTGTGCATTCTAACACACCCCAGCTGTCCTTTGGCACGGCGGCGGATTGCTCCCGCGACAGCGAGGTTTTTTTTTTCATAGCTCGGCTGAGTTGCAGTGCCGTCAGCCTTTCTCCTTCTTCTCGCAGTAGCGATCGAAGAACAACAACCAAATCATGGGCCACATCGTTCCTGGGGTCCGCGCAGGTTTCTTGGATCGTTGCCAGACCCCCCTTGGCGGCGCCTCGGGCTCGCCCTTGGCGCGCTTCACGAGCCAGGGGAGGGGTCCAGCGCCGTCCCAGTAAATCTGCGTCAGGGCCCTGACCAAAACGAACTCTACGTCATCCTTCGCCATCCTTCTCGCTCCTCCCCCTCATTTTTTGTTATTCCTCGATCGAACCCTGTCCTCGTCACATCTCCTTCCGACTGCTTCTCCCCCCTGTCTCCTCCTTATCTAGCCTCGCTTTCCTCCCCCATCGTTGTCCTCTTCCCTGCCATCCTCCCGCTCATCCTCATGCCCCATCCTGCTCCGTGCCGGCTCGGGTGACCTGTTTTGTTGCGGAGGATTTCAGGGGAAACAGCGTCAGGGGGGGGGGGAGAGGAGGAGGAGGAGGAGGAGGAGGAGGAGGAGGAGGAGGAGGAGGAGGAGGAGGAGGAGGAGGGGGAGGAGGAGGAGGAGGACAGGCCGAGAGGGGGGATGCATCGACCCCGATCGCTCACTGTCCACCTCGCAGGGGCGCGGGCGGAGTTGCCATCGGGGACCCGTCGCCGATCCGTCGGCGAAATGTATCGCCGATTCCAGCTCGATGTCTTCTCCCTGAGCCGCGCCCTCTACCCATCGGTCGTTGGAAGTAGGTATTCTTGGGTTTCCAGATTCCAGTCTACTTTCAGCGCCTTCCTACTTCAAGAGTCGAGTGGTTTTCCCTCTTCCTTCCTCTGCAGGAGGCGGGCGGAAACCCAATATACTCCCAACGCCTTCCTACTTCATGTTTCCACCTACTTCTTCCGACCAGTGGGTACAGTCGGGGCCCTGAAGAAGGAGCCCTTTTTTGTTGGGGAGGGGCTCCGTGTTCCTTACTTGCTTGCTTTGCAGTGCTCCTCGGGCTTTCCTGAGGTTTTCCATGGAACATCGGAGCTTACTCTATGGGAAAGAGGGGCCTCGTTCCTTATTTATCGTTCCTTGGGTCAACGCCCCGACTGTGTCGCCGATTCCAGCTCGATGTTTTCTCCCTGAGCCGCGCCCTCTCTATCGTCGCCCCTCAGGTAATGGAGGATGACGATTAATAAATGACCGGGGGTCGTGTTCACGCGGCGACGCCCGGGATGACGATTAGACAAAACCGGCCGCGGGCTGGAAAACTTTTTTTTCAATCGTTCTCTCTTCCAGTCAGCAACTTGCGCAGAAATAGGAGAACACTAGTTTTGTTAATCATTCTCTCCCATTTTTGTATTAATCGTCATCCCGCATTATGCCTCGTTCATCACCCTGGCGGGGCCGGGCTAAATAGGCGGCCTGCGAGTCTCTGGGCGGGCCACGGATGGCGGTGCCCCTTCCCCTCTGGGTCTCCCTCCTCGGGTCGGGATATGCGCTCGGACCAAACATGTCGAGAGGACTGCAGCCGCGGTGGTGAGGAACCTCCTGGAGGCACCCAAAGGAAGACAAATATGCCCCGACGCCTCGGACTCGGACGTTCGAATATCCCTCCTCTCCTCCCCCCTTCCCTCCGTCCACGTCCATTCTCGGAAGCCCCAGGGCTCTGCGCCCTGCTGTGTTGATCAACATCGTTGTGGTTCTGATTTCCTGTCTGCACTGTGCTGGTGCTCGTGGGCTGCTGTTTTTTTACCTGCTTCGCCAATCCGGTCGTCTTCCAACTAAAGAGTTTTCGTGGAATGCATGACCTGACCTGACCCGTCCAGGGATACCCGGACCTCTCCAGAGATGCGTTCTGGCAAGAATCCCCTGGGAGTCTGCAGTGGCGACTCGAGAGGTCTCCCAGAAGGCTTTGATCAGTGAAAGATCTGATGATTTTTGTACTTCGAACCCTCGATCGTCGATGTCCTCCCACCCCCGTCCAGAGGACATCATCGGCTCGAATCGGCTCGTGGAGCCGATCGAGCAAGCGGAGGCCAAGGTCGAGCAGCTGACGGAGGGGCGCCAGGACGCCCTCCCACCCCCCGCTATGATTAAGCGGTCGAACATGTCCGGCGGCCGGCCAGGGATCTTGGGTCAGTGCCTCCTGGACCAGGACGCCTCTAACCATGTAACCCCTCAGTGTCTTCGGAATCCCTCCCCAATCGTGGAAGCCAATTATCTTTTCAACGCCCCTATTCACGGACTGGGGCCCCACCAACAATGGAAAACCATTATTTCTCCGCGGCACCCGCCGCGCAACAACGACGACGACGACGACTACATGTGCGAGAAGGAAGAGGAGCAGGAGAAGGAGGAGGAGGAGGACCAGTGTAAACCCAAGAGTCATCAACGATGTTGGAATAAACCCTCCCTCCAAACTCCCTCTTATAGGCCCCTACAAAAGTTTTTATTTCCACTGAGGGACCCGCCTCGTTAGAAGACAACCGTTTGAAGACCTTGAAGAATACCAAAACATTGTTCTCGGGATTTCGACGCGCCTGAATCGGGCCAGAACGCCATTCCTGGGATTTCAGCACCGCGAATCAACGCAACTGCTGCGCCCTCGTAATCCTGAACCCTTCCCAAACACAATTTTTGGTACGCTGATCATGGAATCCGTACAACTCTTCCACATTGAAGAAACGAATGCGCGCGTCGCTTAAGCGAGAGCCACGCTTCGAAAAGGAACCGCACTCAATCCGTAAAACTTTTACAAATCATTAATGCGAATGTTCGCGGCGCTGAGGCCAGAGCCACATTTTGAACAGGAGCCGCCCTCAATCCGTGAAGCTCTTGCAAATATTTAAACGAATGTGCGCGGCGCTAAGGCGAGAGCCACATTTAGAAAACCACCCGCCCTCAATCCGTGAAGCTCGTGCAAATCGTCAAAACGAATGTGCGCGGCGCTATGGCGAGAGTCACATTTGAAAGCCATCCGCCTCCAATCCGTGAAATTCTTGCAGTTTCTTCAAGCGAATGTGCGCGGCGCGAAGTCGGGAGCCACATGTTGAAAGCCACCCGCCTTTCATGTGTGAAATTGTTGTCACGTTTGAACGTCAGGGTCATACATTGTGGGAGAGTCTCATGCGACACGCCTAGTCCGCCCTCAAAACTTGCCTCGGGGTGCGACAGGGAGAGGTTTTTGTTCCCCACATCCTGAGTGGGGTTTTGTTTTCCCAGAACACCCTCTCCTTCCCACCTTCCCACCTTCCCACCTCCCGTTCCCTTTTCCATACCATCCGTACACTACCATACCATACCTACAACATCATAGCTACCATACCATACCTTCCATACCATACCATAGCATAGCTGCCACACAAAACCATACCTTCCACACCATACTATACCTTCCCACACCTCCAGGGAGGCCCCGCCTGAGAGAGCAGGGAATTCGAATACCATACTATTTATCAGGTGTCGTGCCCCTCCCACCCCTCCAGGGAGGCCCCGCCTGAGCGAGCAGGGTATTTGAATCCCATTCTATCTATCGGGCTTCGTGCCCCTCCCACCCCTCCAGGGAGGCCCCGCGTGAGAGAGCAGGGAATTCGAATACCATACTATTTATAAGGTTTCGTGCCCCTCCCACCCCTCCAGGGGGGCCCCGCCTGAGCGAGCAGGGTATTCGAAAACCATATTATCTATCAGGCTTCGTGCACCTCCCACCCCTCCAGGGAGGCCCCGCCTGAGCGAGCACGGTATTCGAACACCATACTATTTATCAGGCTTCGTGCCCTCCCACCCGTCCAGGGAGGCCCCGCCTGAGAGAGCAGGCATTCATCTATTTAGCAGGTTTCGTGCCCCTCCCACCCCTCCAGGGAGGCCCCGCCTGAGCGAGCAGGGTATTCGAATACCATCTATTTATCAGGTTTCGTGCCCCTCCCACCCCTCCAGGGAGGCCCCGCCTGAGCGAGCAGGGTATTCGAATACCATACTATTTAGCAGGTTTCGTGCCCCTCCCACCCCTCAGGGTATTCGAATACCATCGTATTTATCATTCCGTGCGCCCTCCCACCCCTCCAGGGAGGCCCCGCCTGAGCGAGGAGGGTATTCGAATACCATACTATTTATCAGGTTTCGTGCCCCTCCCACCCCTCCAGGGAGGCCCCGCCTGAGCGAGCAGGGTATTCGAATACCATACTATTTAGCAGGTTTCGTGCCCCTCCCACCCCTCCAGGGAGGCCCCGCCTGAGAGAGCAGGGTATTTGAATACAATACTATTTAGCAGGTTTCGTGCCCCTCCCACCCCTCCAGGGAGGCCCCGCCTGAGAGAGCAGGGTATTTGAATACCATACTATTTAGCAGGTTTCGTGCCCCTCCCACCCCTCCAGGGAGGGAGCCCCACCTGAGAGAGCAGGGTATTTGAATACAATACTATTTAGCAGGTTTCGTGCCCCTCCCACCCGTCCAGGGAGGCCCCGCCTGAGAGAGCAGGGTATTTGAATACAATACTATTTAGCAGGTTTCGTGCCCCTCCCACCCCTCCAGGGAGGCCCCGCCTGAGCGAGCAGGGTATTCGAATACCATGCTATTTATCAGGTTTCGTGCCCCTCCCACCCCTCCAGGGAGGCCCCGCCTGAGCGAGCAGTGTATTCGGATATCATACTATTTAGCAGGTTTCGTGCCCCTCCCACCCCTCCAGGGAGGCCTCGCCTGAGCGAGCAGGGTATTCGAATACCATCGTATTTATCATGCCCCTCCCACCCCTCCAGGGAGGCCCCGCCTCAGGGTATTCGCTATTTATCAGGCTTTGTGCCCCTCCCACCCCTCCAGGGAGGCCCCGCCTGACCGGGCAGGGTATTCGAATACCATACTATTTATAAGGTTTCGTGCCCCTCCTACCCCTCCAAGGAGGCCCCGCCTGAGCGAGCAGGGTATTTGAATCCCATTCTATATATCGGGCTTCGTGCCTAGTTACTAGGCTTCGTGCCCCTCCCACCCCTCCAGGGAGGCCTCGCCTGAGCGAGCAGGGCATTCGAATACCATACTATTTAGCAGGCTTCGTGCCCCTTCCACCCCTCCAGGGAGGCCCCACCTGAGAGAGCAGGGTATTTGAATACAATACTATTCAGCAGGTTTCGTGCCCCTCCCACCCCTCCAGGGAGGCCCCGCCTGAGCAAGCAGGATATTCGAATACCATACTATTTAGCAGGCTTCGTGCCCCTCCCACCCCTCCAGGGAGGCCCCGCCTGAGCGAGCAGGGTATTTGAATCCCATACTACTTATCAGGTTTCGTGCCCCACGGGAGGGCGCCGGGAGATCTCCAGGTGCATGACAGAGTCTTCGAATGCTTCCCGCGGCAATCCTTGACACCTCCGCACGAGGCACGGGGGGACAGGGCGATGTCGAAGACACCGAAGAGGTGGAGGAACGGGAGGAGGAGGGGGAGGAGAACGAAGAGGACAAAAAAGAGGAAAACAAGAAACACGAGGAAAGGGAGGAGGCGGAGGACGAGGACGAGGAGGAGGAGGAGGAGAACGAGGAGGAGGATGAGGAGAAGGGGGAGGATAACGAGGACAAGGAAGACGAGGAGCAAAAGAGTGATGATGATGGGGGAGGCGCACAACGACGAAGTGGAGACAGAGGAGGAGGAGGAGGAGGATAGAAGAAGGTGGAGAAGGCGAGGGCAGGTGGCAGACAAGATGCAATGTAACCCCGTAACATCCTTATGTGGGGATCTCCGCTAGCATAACTAGAAGGAAAAGGAAAGGATGAGGAGGAGGAGGAGGAGGAGGAAGAGGAGGAGAAGGAGGAGGAGGAGGAGGAGGAGGAGGAGGCGGAGGAGGAGGAGGACGAGGAGAGGGGGCAGGAGAAGGAGGAGGAGGAGGAGGAGCAGGAGCAGGAGGAAGTGGAGGGACGAGTTTCATCTCCCGCCGAGAGAAACAGGGGGGGATGCAAAACAGAAGACAGGGGTTAAGACGACAAACATGAATAACATAAACTGTTGGAGCTCCGCGCGGATTTCTGGGATGGGCGTCTGGACCCCCCTTGCGGCGCCTCTGGCACCCCCTGTGGCTCGCTCTCCGCGCCAGCGATGGTCCAAGAAATTTGCGTGGACCTCCAGAAGTTTGATTCTACCACCTATGTTCCCTCGAAACCAGGACTGCAAGTATTCCTCTTGGAGAAAATGAATGGCAGAGTAAGGGGGCCGAACGGACTTGCACTGTCCCTTGGTGCGTGGCTGAAGCTGGGATCCGCGGTCCAGATCTTTAGCATTCTCATTTCTAAAGAATCATTGTTTATGATCTCCCCCGCCCGGTGCCCATTGTGTCTTTCAAGGGAAGTGCTCCTCATGCAATTCGCACCTGTTTTTTTTACAAGGGAAGGTATATGGGCTAAAAATGCGTTGTTCACCCCCGAACAACAACAGCAACAACAACTGCTTCCGCTGGATACTGCCTCACAATCAATTTGAGAATCGCGCTCTAGCGCGAGATTTCCTCACAACGTATGCAGTAATCGCGCTCTCGCGTGGTACTCGCAATTTATGGACATCCCGTGCCATCAACACCCACGAATCAGGCTCTCGCTTTTTGTTTTTTTCATGATGTACTTGGGAATCGCGCTGTTGATCGACACTTTCTCGCGATTCATGCAGGACGCACGCTCCAGCAACCCGCCTAGTCGACCTGGCCGCCTGGCCCGTCTTCCCGACCAGCCAATCCGGGTCTATCCGCCCGATCTGCCCGTCCGGTTCCTCCAAGTGTAGTTTGTTCCTAGCCCCCTTCCTGGTTCTCTCTCTCTCTCTCGTGCTCCATCCTTCTCCCCCCCTCGCCTTGTCAATTTCTTTCATCCGTCCTGATTTCCCTTGTTTTAGGGAGTGCACCGGTTAAACGTGGCAGGTGAAGAAGATATGCCCCCAAGGGGGGTACTATCGGAGACGAAGGGGGCGGGTATCGAGGTTCTGGGATACAAGTATTGTATGGCACGCGAGCGGATAAGAGCGAACAGTCTTAGAATGATGAGTGGTGTTGTTGTTGTGGTTGTTGTTGTTGTTGTTGATGTTGTTGTTGCTGCTGCTGCTGTTGCTGTTGCTGTTATTGTTGGTGTTGGTGTTGGTGTTGGTGTTAGTGTTGGTGTTGTTGGTGTTGGTGTTGGTGTTGTTGTTGATGTTGTCGATGTTGTTGTTGTTGTTGTTGGTGTTGTTGTCGTTGTTGTTGTTGGTGGTGTTGGTGTTGGTGTTGTTGTTGTTGTTGTTGCTGTTGCTGTTTTTGTTGTTGTTGTTGTTGGTATTATTATTGTTGGTGTTGGTGTTGTTGTTGTTGGTGCTGTTCTTGTTGTTGTTGTTGTTGTTGTTGTTGTTGTTGTTGTTGTTGTTGTTGTTGTTGTTGTCGGTGTTGTTTGTTTGTGAGTTGTTTGTTGAATCCTCTTTTCTTAAGAATAATTGTTCTTGATCCCGATCCCCCCTCCAGTGCCCATTGCGTGTTTCAGTTGAGTTGCCCCGTCTACCAGGGCCCACTCTGATCCGATGCATCCGATTCGATATCGATTTCGGCTGGCCCGTTCCGATTCGGGTCCGATTTCCCGACGCCCCCATCACGGCCCTGCGCTTGCGTGGGCGCCCTTGTGCACCCTGGCGTGGCAGATCGAGCCGATCCCGACTCCGTTCCGATGCGGTCCGCTTCGACGCACGGCCCGCTTCGGTCCGATGTCTAGGTTCACTGTCGTCTGATCCTTCCCTGCGGGTCGCCCAGTGGGGTTGTCAGAGGGGGCGGGCCCTCGCAGAAGGCTCAGAACGCCTCTGGCCTCTTCGGATGCTCCCGAGGCCCTCTCCGATGATGCAGCGGGCTTCTCTGAAGGCCGCGGGGCTTCTGAGAAGCCCCCGCCGCCTCTCGAGATGTCCGCTGCGACACTGCCCCGTGCAGGGCGCCACTCCTGCAGCTATTCTCGTTGGGGCTGCTGGCCAGGGGGACCCCTCGTCAGCAGCCCCCCGTCACAGGCTGCGAGTTGGGGTGCGCCCCAGGCAGTGGGTGTCTCCCAGTGGCAGGTCCACGATCTACCCCCTGGGGACTGCTCAGTGGCGCCCCTCCCGCAGACCTGGCAGTTTGGTCGGTGATCCTGAGAAGGCCAGCCCCCTCTCACTTCCCCCTTCGGCGCGCCGCCGACCTGCGCTCCTCCTCGTCCGCTCCTCCTCGTCCACTGCGCGAGGCCCCCGCCTCGGCGTCTTCGGAAAAGGCCTCGGAAGCTTCTGGAAATGCCCCCTCGGCGCGCCACCAGCCTGCACGTCTCCTCCTCCTCCTCCGCCTCGGTCGTGCCCCCACTGCGCGGGGCCTCCGCCGGAGGAGAAGCTCAACCGCCTCCGCGTGGCCGAGCGCGAGAAGGAGTCCCCCGGCGCCCGTGGGGCGGGGCTGCGTTCGGGCACGTGCCCCTCCTCGCCCCTCTTCTTCCCCATCACGAGCGGCGAGCGTGTCCACATCCAGGCCCTCGCGGTCTGGGTTCCGGGGCGCGATCCCGCGGATACGCGGTCGCACGGATGCGCTCCTCGCGTTGCATCCGCGAAGAAGCGCCCCGTGTCCGCCGGGCCGCGGCCCAGTGGCCTGGCCCGCGAGGCCGCGGATACGGATGGTCTGTCTTCCTCTTCGGGCGTGGAGGAGGAGGGGGAAGAGGCTCACTGCGTTGTTGTTGTTGTTCTTGTTGTTGTTGTTGTTGCTGTTGCTGTTGCTGTTGCTGTTGCTGTTGCTGTTGCTGTTGCTGTTGCTGTTGCTGTTGTTGTTGTTTTTTGTTGCATGCTTGTTCGCCGGAGGAGCAGCACGTCTACATAGCATTACACACGTTCAGAGGACCGCGCGGAGTTCGTGGGTCGGCGCTGGGACCCCACGGCGGCGTCTCCAGCGCCGCCCCCCAGTGTGCGCCTCGCGCGCCAGCGCCGCCCCCAGTGTGCGCTTCGCGCGTCAGGGAGGGGGCACAGCGCCGGCCCAAGAAGTCCGCGGGGGCTTCCGACAGGTTATGGCTAAGGTGAAAACGGTGATTGCCAGCGTGGACCCCGCACAGTGAGTCGATGCACTGTGGATGTGTAAAGTTGTGTTGGGCAAGCTACGAGGAGTGAGCCATGTGGTGCAACGTGTGTGGTGCAAGCTATGTTGTGCAAGTCGTTTGGTGCGCCCTGTGTGATGTAAGCTGCAGTGTGCAGGTGTAAGCTCCGCGGTGGAAGCTATGCTGTGCAAGTTGTGTGCAGCAGGCCAGCTCGCGAATGCCGTGGCCGAGCTGATGTGACGAATGGTGATACGTGAAAATGAAGAACCTCGTGCTAGTGCGAAGTGGAGCTTGTAGAATGGGCATAGGATTGAGGTTTTGAGTGTGAGCCATATACCCCTTTTCTCTGCAACCTTTCTTGTTCGTCTCCTTCTCATCACAGTTGAGAGCTTGGGCCTGCTCATGAATACTGTGGCCGAGCTGATGAGACAACTGCTGACATTGGACAATGAAGGGATTCAAGTATCTTCATCCTGATTTTGTCGAGGTGGAGGGGGGTGGAGGAGCCTATCTCGCCTTCCTCCTTCCTGGAGCGTCGGCGGAGGGGGGTAACTCGTCCTGATCAGGATTTATTTTCATCCGGCTTGCGTCTGAAAGAGAAGACAAGGAAGAAGAGCCCATCTCGTGGCCATCCCCTCCCCGGAATTTTCGAGAGGGGAAGCATCTCGTCCTGATCAAGAATGTCTTCCTCCTGTCTTCGCCCGAGAGGAGGGGGAGAAGAGACCCATCCCCACCGAACCCCCAACTCGGCAGTGGCGGGCTGCGCCGTGGTGTGCCGATGTTGTCCATCAGCCGCAGCGCCCCCCGAAGCGCCCCCCGAGACGGCAGGACAACCCCGAAGCGCCCCGAAGCGCCCCGAAGCGCCCCGAAGCGCCCCGAGGCGCCCCGAAGCGCCCCGAAGCGCCCCGAAGCGCCCCGAAGCGCCCCAAAGCGCCCCGAAGCGCCCCGAAGCGCCCCGAAGCGCCCCGAAGCGCCCCGAGGCGCCCCGAAGCGCCCCGAAGCGCCCCGAAGCGCCCCGAAGCGCCCCGAAGCGCGAGCGCCCCCCGAAGCGCCCCCCGAGACGGCAGGACAACCTCGACGGCCCGCGCAAGGAGGCCGAGGCGTGGGTCAGCGCCGAGTCCGAGAGGCTGCGCCATGGGGGGGGAGGGGCGCGGGCGGCCCTGGGCCTCCCGCAGGTCCGCGGGCGTCCTCGGAGCGCCAAGCTCCTGGCTCCCAGGGCCCGGCGGCTCCGGCCCCGATCGTCCACGATGTTCCTCCTCCTCCTCCTCCTCCTCCTCCTCCTCCTCCTCCTCCTCCCCACCCTCCTCCTCCTCCTCCTCTTCCTCCTCCTCTTCTTTTTCTTCTTCTTCCTTCTCCTCCTCCTCCTCCTCCTCCTCCTCCTCCTCCTCCTCCTCCTCCTCCTCCTGAGCTTCCAGGATGCTGCATCGGGGGCGGAAAAGAGGGGGGTGATGACTAGAGGGGGGTGGATATCTTGGCGCGGGGGCGGAAAAGAGGGGGGTGATGACTAGAGGGGGGGGGATATCTTGGCGCGGGCCATGATATCTCCGCAGATTTCATGGCGCCTCTTCCTATTTCATTGCGTCCCAGGCCCCCCCGCTGGGCCGCGCACATGCCGCCGGTCATGATTTGCACCCCCCCTCTTGGACACCCCCCTCTTGGCCGCTCCAGACTGCAGCGGTTCGTTGTCGGTCGGATCTCAATGGGAGGGGGCGTGCAGCTCCTTCCCCTGCCGCGCTCCCAGGCCGAATCGGGGTGCGATGCCCGTGGCCAAGGCAGGCGGCACACCGGCCTCACGTTTCGAGGAGTTCCTTCCCCGACCCGTGAGCCTGGCGTGTCCACGCGCCAAATCCACGGCTCTGTTGACGAACGAGCAACACACACCCATACCCATAGGCCCATAGGGAGGTCGTTGGGAGGAGGACTGGATATGGGTATGGGTGCGGGTTGTCGGGCCCTTGGGAACGCTCCCGTTCGAGCGGGGACCCCCATCCGACAACACGCACCTATAGCCCTCTACGATTCCCCTATGGGTATGGGTGTGTGTTGTTGGTTCGTCGTACACACTGTTGATTTCTAATTCTTCGAAACTTCTTTATTTTTTGGGGGGGGGGGGGGGCAAGACCCTTTCATTTCTAATTGTTCTATCCTGGGCCTCTTCCTGGCCACTAGGGGGCCAGGAACAATCAGACTCGAGCACAATTTTAGAAAGGAGCAGGCTTAGAAATGAACGACGTGCAATCCGTGTTGGCGTTCTCCCGACAAATGGGGTCCGAGTAGATTTCGATGGGTCGGAGGATCGTGCCCCGCATCGCCCCGCAGCGCCGATGCTTTGGCGGTGCGGAGGTCTTTGGGCCTGTGCAGGGTCCATTTCGATCCGATCGGTCCCATCCGATATCGATTCCGGCCGGCTCGATCCATCTCGATTTCGACTTCAGAGTGGTCCGATGCGGCCCGATGCTTGCGTGGCATTGTTGCGCATCCTGGCGCAGTCGATCCGATTCAATTTTGATTCCGTGCCACTGCAGCCCGGTCCGACGCACGTTATAACTCGATCCGACTTGTCGAGTCAATTCTGACCGCTCTTGCCAGATCTCCAGCGATGAAAGTTGTTCAATCTCAGCTGCGCGTGTCCTCGATTCAAGCGTGCGGGGGCCGTTTTAAAGACCCCAGGGCGATGACAAATTAGCCCGGCACAGAAAAGTACCCCCAGGGGAGGCTAGGGCTGCGGATTGAAAAGCAAAACTACGAAACGTCGCCGGACGTGTTTTTTCGGAAGCCTTTGGACATCTCCGGATGTCCTCGGAGGCCCTCGGGCGTCCCCAGGGGTGATCCTCGTAATTAGGCACTCGGGCGCCCTCTCAGAAAGGTTCTCTAGCGCGTTCGGTCGTTTTCGGAGGCCCTCGGGACGTCTCCTGACGTTTTCGAAGGTATCGGACGTCTTCGGGGATCCTCGGAGGTTGTCGGACGGC